CGGGCTGCTTGCCCCCCCGCCGCGGGGAGAGGCCGCCACCCCGCTGCACCCGCCTCCGGTGAGTATCTCCCTGCAGGCCCCTTCCAGCTGCACCCGCAGGGCCCTCTCCAGCTCCCCCCGCTGCACCCCCTGCTCTGCCCCGCCGCGCTCTGCTCTTTGTGGGAACCACCCCCGGGCCTTAACCCGTAGATCAGCGATGGGCCACCCGGGCTAGTGAGCGGGCCGCATGAGCGCCCCTTGTTCATCTCAGCGGGCCGCCACTGTCCTAACCAAGATGGAGTCCCGGGATAGGCCTGTTTTGGTAACGGCGCTGCTGTCCCTAGTATTTGGGGGAGCTGGAGGGGGTGTAACCGTAGTAGCGCTTTGATTGGCGGCAGAGAGAGGGTGCATGTGACTTGAATAATACGAGTAATGAAAAGAAACAGCAACAGGGAGAGAAAACACAGGAATCTGGCAACCTTGTGTGTGGGCAACAGTGAGCAAAATGTCTCCTGGGCCACACCCAGAACCCTGGTGGGATGCACCTAGCTTACTACTGAACTAGATTCTGCTCCCCAGTCATTACCCCAGGAGTCCTGGCTTCTACCCCTCTTCAACCACTAGACACCACTCCCCTTCCAGAATCGGGGAGTGAATCCAAGAGTCTGGCTCCCAGCCCTTGCTATAACCATTAGAACCCACTTCCCTTCCCAAGCTCCAGGCAACCACTTTGAAGACCAGGGGTGGGCAATAATATTTGCGAGTGGGCCACTTAAAAAAAATTCTGAAGTAGCCGTGGGCCACCCTGGAAGGTTCAGGGCCACCCCAACCCCAGACCATGATTGGTCTGGGGGTGGAGGAGCCCCTTTGCCCCCCCCTTCCCATGAGGCACCCATGTCCTGGAAGAGGCTTGGCAAGCTCCCCCACTCCCAGGCCAATCAGCTGAGGATGTGGGGAGTGGGGTCTAGTGGTTAGAGTGGGGTTGGGGGCTGAGAGCCAGGACTCCTGGGTTCAGTCCCTGCCTATGTATCAGGAGGGGGCATATCCTGGCATTGTCTCTCACATCCCCCCCACCCCCTCGGTCTCTCTAGGCACAGAGGTGGCTACAAGATACCCCAGTCCTTTAGGTATGATCATGCCTAGGCATGTTCCCTGCTCCCACTCAGAGAGGGAATGAAAATGGGGCCACATTGTGTCGCTTGCCAAGACATGAGAAGAACAGAAGCTACCTAGAGGGTCACCATTGGGCGTTGTGCCAGCCCATATCCCAGCCAACTCCTGAGTTCTAGACTGGCTCTGCAATGGCAGTGGGAGCTAGTGGTTAGAACAGAGGAGGTGGGGGGGCTGGGAGCCAGGATGCCTGGGTTCTAATTCTTGCTGTGTCACTTGGGGGCATCTTCCCCCTCTTTGCCTCAGCCTCAGGTTACATAGGGGAAACTGATTACTTCCTCTCAGGGAGTTGTGGGAGAAGCAGGGAGCCTAGGGGTCCTCCACCCTGGTTCTTCCTGATTTCTGTTTTGGCTTGGTGGCTGAGTGTCCCTGTTCTAGCTAGAGGCCAGCATGTGCACACCGGATTCTGTGGCAGGGAGTTCCCCGGTCTTGCAGCACCACAAGTCCAGATCAGACCTTCCTGCCTGGGGGCATGGGCAGAGAGTCCCTCCTGCCAGACCTAGGGCTGTTAAGATGAGTCGACTATCCGATAAGCAAATGCTTGTCGGCTAGTCGACAGGTTAGCCTATCAAACAGAGGCAGCAAGGAGGGGAGAAAAAGGAGGTACTTCAAAGTGGCAGCACCGCATGGAGCCCCGGGTCAGCTGCTCCATGCTGACCCTGGGCTCAGGGTGGCACTACCCCCTTTGAAACGCCGCTGCGGCATTTCAAAGTGGCAGCGTCGCATTATCGACTAATCGAATAGTCAATGCAAACTACATCAAGTATTCAATTAGTCAATTACATGATACTTAACACCCTTAGCCTGACCCAAATATGTAACATGAGGGCAGTGAGCTCATTAGTAGAGTGTGGCTGCCCACACTCAGGTACACCGGCCCACCCCTGCAGATAGTCCTAAGATCTAGCCTCCTGCACCCGCCAGCCAAGAACATCCCTGACATCTCCCTAGGCAGAGACCACCAGTGTGTGCCAGTGGATAGCACCCAAACATCACCCAGGGCCCTCCTTGAGACCCCCCCAGACACTTCCTCCAGGCCCACTACTAGGACTGCCCCCTTGCTGAGCAGACCCTCCCCCGAATCCAGCAACCACACCTGCCAGATAACCCCTACCAGATCTTCACCACTTGCCTAGAAGCTGCAAAGAGACACATCTAGCAGAGACTGAGCATCCAGGCCTCTCCCTCCACCCATCTCACCAGCCAGGGATGCCCCTACAAGCAGTGCTGGCTTTAGGCCGATTCGCCCGATTCCCCACACCCTAAATTCAGAGTGCCCCATGCCCTAAATCCAGAGGGGCCTGCGCCCTAAACCCAGAAGTGTGCTGGCGTGCCGGGCGTGCTGCGGGAGGGGGCGTCAGCCCTGGAGGAGGAGCGCGTCGGCTCCTGTGTGCCTCGGGAGGGGAGTCAGCTCGTGGGCTTGGCTGGAAGGTGGCACTCTGCCTTGTAGCTGGGGATTTAAAGGGGCTGTGAGTTGTTTTTTTGTGTACTGGGTTATTGGGGTTTTTTTTTTCCTCAACCAAAATTTGGTTGGAATTGGGCCCTGCACTTCCTAAAGTTGGCCCTGTCCAGTCCCACAAGGACTCCCCAGTGGGAATTCCCAATCCCCAGTGGGAATTCCCAACAAAGATCCTTCCGTACCAGCTGCCACAGGGACCCCAAAATCCCTGTTCCTGCTAAGACCCCCACTCCCCCAGCCACAGTCCTCCTAGGTCAATCTGTACAGAGACTCTCCCACCTCTCCATCTCTAGCTGCACCATGAGCCAGCCCCTCCCCTATAGCCCCTGATCTCCTCATGATCCTTTCCTGCCCTCCCAGCACTGGTTCCTCCTGCTCCCAGTTCCTGCCCTCCCCTTCTCCAACTCCCAAATCTTCCCCCACCCTTAATATTGCCTCCCTCCACCCCATTTAATTTGTTAACCGATTAAATGTAGTATTTATCAAATTAAAGGGCAGTAGGCACAGGGGCACTCCAGCCTGGGGAGGGAAGTGAGGGGCCACTCCCGGGTATCAGTTAACCATTACTTGGGAACCATTCCCCGTTAAGGACAATGTTTCCTAGGTAACCAGTTACCCATTCACAACCCTCTCCCGCAGTGCCTCATCTCTTGGTTCACTGCCCCTACAAGGTCCACCTAGTCACATAGCCCCCCGCCTTCCAAACCCCAGGATCTGTTGCTCACTTGACTCCCCCATTTTGCTGTTTTCCCCAGTCCCTAGCATGCCATTCCCCCCTAGACTCTCTGTGTCCCTTCCCCAGGTATCCTCAGTCTCTTGTTCCCCATTCCACCCAGTGCCCCTGGCAAGCTGAGCAGGCTGCAGTGTCTACCTCTTCACCAGCCTGCAGGAGGTAAGAAAGACAGTAGCTGCAGGGGGAGCTCTGGGAGCAGGGCATCTTCTCTAGACCTACTGCAGTGTCCTCCAGGCTTAGCGATGGGGCAGCCACCCTTACGCAGAAGCTACCTCTGCCCTGTCCTGCTCTACCAGTTGGGCACAAATGCCATCTGCCTGGGCAGCTACGGACTGGCTGATGGCTCTGGGTACCTAATGAGCCCCTTGTGTAGCATGCTGGTTGGGATCCTGGGTGCTGTTGTGGAAAGTCAGGGCCAGACCTAGAGCCATGGCAGAAGGGGGGGGGAGAGAAGCATAGAGTCGGGCAGATTGAGGATTGCAGTCAGGGCACAGTGGGAGAGAGGGTAGGAGGAGGGCCCTAGACCAGGGCAGGCTGTGGGTGTGGGGCACAGCCAAGACAGAAAGGGGGGCAGTGGGTGAGCCCTAGACCAGGACAGACTGGGGGACAGTGGGTGAGCCCTAGAACCAGGAGAGGTTGGGGGAATAGCCGTGGTAAAATGGGGGGGAGGTGGGCTCTACACCAGGGCAGATGGGGGGGAGCAGAAGGTGGGCCATAGAACCAGGCTAGATTGGGGGCCGCAGATGGGGGGGGAGGGATGAGCCTGAGAGCAGGGCAGATTGGGGGTGTGGGGCGTAGCGAGAACAGAATTGGGGCGAGTAACAGAAAATGTGCCGGACACTGGATTGTAACATTGAGTCCCCACCCTGGCCATGGGGATGTAGCTGCCCAGGACTGAGCTTGGGGTCCCCGACTCCCCCAGGTTCTGTCGGCCTCAGAACTGGAGTCAGCCCGCGTCGGGAGTGCCCAGCTCGGCGGCGCCCTTCTGGCCGGCGGGGTGTGGGGGCT